TTTTTTTTTTCTTCTCCCACCACGACTTCCAGAGGGACCTTCACAGAAGGGTCCCGCTTGAGAATTTTAGTGGGTTACATAGCTCATTTGAGGAGTCTATTCAAAGCACCTCTGAATTACATTAGGGAAGCAGGCCTGGGTGCAGCCTGGCTGGTGCTGGCTCTCCTGCTGGCCCTGAGGAGGCTGTGCAGCCGGCTCCCTTGGTTTGTTGACCTTGGTCGTCCTCCAGGCACACCCTCCCAGGTGACAGCTTCCGAACTGCCCCCTCTCCTAGCCCCATGTTCCTGTGTATCTCCAGATTTCATTCTATGTTACTGGAGCTATAAATCCTCAAAATGCTTTAGAAAGTCCAATATTGCAGCAAATTGTAACTGAGTAACTCACATTAGTAAGCATTTTAATAAAACGTACATACGCCACAAGAGATTGAAAGGCAAGAAAGTAGAAAATCATGGGGCAAATGCCCGGGGAAGCCTGTGTCATGTACGTACACAGTGTGTACTATTGTGTCCACGCGGATTTTCATCATCATGAAGGCCTGGAACACGCACTCATGAGCTGTGCCACAGCCAGGCAAAACCGGGCCTGCGCCCTGCAGGGGCAGCTGGGGGGTATTTCCAGGCATTCGCTCATTTTCATCCAGGATTTCTCAACACTGACGCTACTGACTTCCTGGGCCAGGCCAGTTTTTGTTGTGAGGCACGGTCCCGTATTCTGTAGGCTGTTTAACAGCACCCCTGTCTCCTGCCCACTAGATGCCAGTAGTTCCCCTAAGCCGTCACACCCCAAAATGTCTCTAGGCATTACCAAATGAGTAGGTAGGGGTAAATTGTCCCCCTACGAAACCCATTGGTGTCGTCTGAAGATACTTTGTGTCTGCTCATATCAATTTTGTTTCAGTATCAGACAAAATTTGAAACAACAGTATTAAAAAATTAAACCCCCAAATGGGGGCTCTACCAAATAGGTATTCTAAAAACTAAAAAACACAAATAGAAAACTACCATTTATATTCAAAGGAATGGAAAGGTAAATACTTGATACATTTTAATAGCCAACCAAAGAAATATCAGTTGTGGGGTGCCTGGGTGGCTCAGTTGGTTAAAAGTCTGACTCTCGGTTTTGGCTCAGGTCATGATCCCAGGGTTGAGATTTTCTCTCTTTCTCCCTCCGCCCCTCTCCCCCGGGGGGTTCACACGTGCTCTCTTTTTCTCTTTCTCTAAAGTAAAAAATATGTATATATTAGAAGTATCAATTGTATGTCAGCTGTATAGTTTACTGTTTCAAGGGGGAAATTTTTTAATAAGCCACTCATTAAAGCTTAAGGCCACAGGCTCAGATAACCTCAAAAGTAGATGAAAGATTTCACATCTTTGGAGTAGACTTCTGAGCAAATTTCCACATTGTTCAAATCCAGATTTCACCATCTTGATTAAAATGTGATATAATTTATGAAAAATGTTTTTGTCGCAGAAATTCAAAAGCTTTACAAGAAAAAGTTGAAGAAAATTGTGTTGTTTTTTTTTTAATTAAATGAGATTTGAATAGCTATTGAGAAGCTTCACAAATTGAGTTTTCTGGGTGCGACTGAGTACGGACCTGTTCCCATTAGGCAGGACTGAGGCTGGGCTTCAGTGTGTGTGGTTCAGCCAAGCAAAACAAAAACCTTTCATTATGGAAATATTTAAACATGAAAGTAATAAAAATTGTATAAGACAGCCTCATGTATTCATCATCCAGTATCTTCTCAGCAGTCCCCATCTCAAAGCCAGCCCTACCTGACTGCTTCTCACCCCAGGACCTCTGCCTCTCCTGTGTGGCCTTGAAGCAAATCAGTCTTGTCCCCGATAGAAAGGGCCTCTTAGGGGAAAGGCAGCCACAGTCTTGTGTGTTACTGATGATAATCAGTCCTTTTTCTTTTAAGGGCAGCTCTCTGCTTGAACCTTGCTAGGGTCCTTTCACTGATCAGCCTATGCCCCTACCCATTTACTCTTGAGATACATTTTTCATATCCCAAGTTGGAGTTCAAAATGGAGGAGAAAAATCTCTCAGGCCTGGCATAAGAACATACGAAAGAATATTTTCTCCTGTATAACATTT